TCCGACTGTTTAGACAGGTGGTCTCTAAGACAGGTTTTGCTGTATAGACAGGTGGTTTCTAAGACAGGTTTTACTGTATAGACAAGTGGTCTCTAAAGTAGGTTTTACTGTATAGACAGGTTGTCTCTAAGGCCGATTTTATTGTATATACAGGTGGTCTCTAAGACAGGTCCGACTGGATAGACAGGTGGTCTCTTAGACAGGTCCGACTGTATAGACCGGTGGTCTCTAAGACAGGTCCGACTGTTTAGACAGGTGGTCTCTAAGACAGGTTTTACTGTATTGACAGGTGGTCTCTTAGGCAGGTTTTACTGTATAGACAGGTTTTCTCTAAGGCAGGTTTTACTGTATTGACAGGTGGAATCTAAGACAGGTCCGACTGTATAGACAGGTGGTCTCTAAGACAGGTTTTACTGTATTGACAGGTGGTCTCTTAGGCAGGTTTTACTGTATAGACAGGTGGTCTCTAAGACAGGTCCGACTGTAGTTACAGACAGGTTATTTGTGAGGCAGGTTTTACTGTATAGACAAGTGGTCTGTAAAGTAGGTTTTACTGTATAGACAGGTTGTCTCTAAGGCAGGTTTTACTGTATAGACAGGTTGTCTCTAAGGCAGGTTTTACTGTATTGACATGAGGTCTCTACGACAGGTCCGACTGTAGTTACAGGCAGGTTATTTGTGAGGCAGGTATTACTTTTATTTCGCGAGAATTGATCGGAAATTTGAAGCTTTCGTGAAAATTTATTCGGAAACACAAGATAAGAGTCTGTATGTGTTGTTGTTTAAATCACTTAAAGTCCCAATTAAATATTAATGAAAATGGTTCGCTGTAGTGATTATGTTTGACCGGGGACATTCCGTGTCACTATGGAGTCGGGGTATGGTTACACGCTGTATGTACGGCAGTTCAACACAGCCTTGTTTATTGTTCGTCCAAACGGTTTCTCGTTTTCAACAATAAACTTTAAAAGGAAATTGCAGTCTGTTTTTGTAAACATGCTTTATCGTGCATCACTGATCCCTTTAGATGTGAGAAGACCAACGGTCGTACTCGAACCTCCGAATAAATTATGAGACTCGCTTGTGTAGTCAACTCAAATACACGAGCGACAGCGATGCAGATGGCTGGGGTGTTTGAAGGGGCGCGTTGGTGCGCAAACAAGATGAGTGTCGCATCGGCTATTCCGAGACAAATTGGCGGGAACAAAGGAGCTGCTGACCTATTCACTCCTCGAGTTATCGACTTATTGACATCTTGGATCTCCCATACGAACGCGGCTGTTGTTGAGATTTATGCCAAATTGGTGTTGATTTTATTTGATACATGAACGCCTTTTGTGATCTCTCTTCTCAGTGTTGATGACTTGTTAAACGCAGCGGATGTGACCAGCTCGCCATAATTGCCTGGTGATCTGTTCCATCAATCAACGCTCTCGGTCCGTATGCATAAGCCAATCATAGGACGTTTCATTTGAAAATCGATAAAAGTCTGATTATTGATTTTCTAATGAGCGAGATTACATCTCTCTACAAAACGTGTGCTAAAGTAATCCAGGGGAAGAGCGGTGCAGCGGTGTACGACCATCTATCACAGATCCGCAGACAAAGCGCTAGGGATGAACTATTGGACTGTCACTGACTCGGAGACAAAGCGCAGAGATATCTTAAATAGGGCCGTCTCGATTAAACTCCGAGAACATATACACGGAGGTGTATCGGCACTCGTGAACTCGGAGACAAAATAATATTGTCCCCGGAACTTAAGAACATAACAAAATCGTACGTAGTACATTGGACTGTTCCGACCTCCAAGAAACAGAAGACGGCTTTCTCGAGGCTAGGTAGAGTGAATTGAAACAGCTGGGGCAAATTCATTCTTCACAGAGTTTATGTTATCGATTGGTTTTTTTTCGACCTGTCATCAATAGTTGAAATTTAGACATCATAACGGAGATGAAATCGAATCACTTATTGATAAAGGTTTAGGTATCAATGTCTCTGCCTTTTTGTTATCAAAACAACTCTTACACAATATCATTAGGTTTTGGGATAACAAAGTCAATAAAAACGCTATACGTTGTAATATAAGGCACGCGCCTGGTCACATGTTTGTTAGAGATATGACATCCGGTGCATTAAGAATTGCGTGTCACGTGGTCTTCAAGATGTCACGTCACACAGACGACTGCCCGTACCCGTACATCAAGTATAACATACGCCAATTCGTTCTGGCACGTGCACGACAGTTATTGGTCACGTGTGCATTTACGCGCGCACAACATCGTTGACATGTGTCAGTTGACGAGGAACGACGTTCGAATATTACAATAGATACGCAGCGTCCGCCATGCACGTGCTAGGGGGCAATTACCGGCGCACTAAGGTAACGGGCGCACAACGGTAGCAGGCGCTTCGGCTCATTTGATAGTAATAGTTTCTCAGGTGGAGCACTCGCAATGGCAGCCATTGTCATAAAATACTAGTCGATTGATTTGTCTTTGTTATTTTACTCAGAAGCCTAATTTATTAAACATGTTTAGATGTAACGATTCTTGTTTTTATCGGATATTTTTCAAATAGTAACCTTTATTATCTAGCGGAGGAACGGAGGCTACTTATGACGGTGATGAGGCACGCACACGCTCACCTCAAGTAGAAATCAATATGCACGAGCTAATACAAATTCGATTTTATTTAAATACATATTCTTCTATCTTGTAAGAAATTGTTGTGAATATTTAACATAGTAGACCACGTATTTGGTAACACGGAAAGCTTAGGACAGGGGAAAGTTATAAGGATGATAAACTCTCTTTTTGGATTGATACTTTGCCCGTTGAGTTAAGACACCTTTGTCACACAAGAATTTTAAATTTAGTTATCATCATACACATGAAATTAGCAGAATAACGCTTTTAACAGAACGATCAGCCCCCTCCTCTCTCACTCTCTCTCTCTCTCTCTCTCTCTCTCTCTCTCTCTCTCTCTAAGAACCTTCTTCTTCTTTTTTACTTTAGTAGTTTAATTAATTAACGGTCCGTTAAAACGTTAACTTCATGATTAGAAGCTAATTGAACTGTAACCATTTAAAGACAGAAACGACCAAGGCAATATTTTTCAACACAAATGGCAAATGTAAATGGTGCAAAACCGTTTGAGACCGAGACAGTACTGTATAATACAGAGATGAATTCTCCTGAAATTTGACTGTCGTCGAAAAATATATTAATCTTCTTTATGCAGAAAATTAGGAAAAGTGGATAATGAAAGAAGAATTTTAATTAAACATAATCTTTTCTATGCTTTCGTGCTAGTATGGGTTCCTGTTTGACCCCGTTTCTTCAGCCATTCGGTGAAGGGCCCTCAGAATGTTCGTTGTTGTTCGAGCAAAGGTCAAGGAGGACGTGACCCCTTCGGTGACCTTGTACGAATAGATCACTACCCTCGGAAGGATTTGATGTAGTGCAGTGAAGTGTATAATAGGATTTTAATTGGATCGATTCGGTATGTTGAGGCAGACGAAATCGAATGCATCATCGTAGTCCCTTGATCTGCATCCAAGCTCATATGTAATCAAGATGTCAACGTGAATCAATTACAATATTACGGAATCGTTATATCTTATATATCGACGTGGCTTAGGTTTACGTTGCATTAGAAGAGATCAGTACAATAGATGATAGAGAAATCTTAACGGTTCATGTGAATTGGAACATCGATTTGGAGACGTAATATGTATTTCTGAAAACCTTAAGAGCATTCTGCCATGAAGGTTGTGACGCCATATTGAATTAGCTGTTGATGGCGGGTTATTGAAGGCTCTCGTGACCATTTTTACCTCCAAAGCCGGAGAGGTTGAGGGGTTTGTATTGTTGACTTTGTATCGGCAAGTGCACTCGAGGCGTTAATTGCCGGAAAAGGACGATCTCTCGCAGACGCTTGCAGGCTTTCACGACGCTTGGAAATGTGAAGAGGCTGGGCAATCAATTCCATAACAGACAAGAGCTATTGAGGTACTTTACCAAGTGTGAACGAGTTCACAATCGGGACAGCTAGCGACATCCATTAATCAACAAAAAGAAATCGACCGTCTGATGAGCAAGGATTTGTTTAGCACGGGACGGCTGTAGCACTGTAGGCGAAAGTGTTTCTATGGGTGTGTGTGCGTGTGTGTGTGATCGGATGCGGATGGCACATGGAAGAGACAATTGTATGTTGTCTGCCATTAGTCATGTTTTCTTTCAGTGTCAACTGACTGTTCCCATTCACGGACAAGTTATTGTTATTCACATATATTGCAAATACCTTCGCATCAGAAAAATTGAATCCCAGTCTACAAACTAATAAACAGCCGAAAAAATTGAGATACAAAACAAAACAACAAACAATCTTGAAATATAATTCAAAATATTCAATTATCGTAAACATTCAAAAGTTTAAGTTTCTGTTTTATTTGTGAGAAAATGAATTGGCGATAGTGACAAAAAATAAATAAATGAGACACAAATCTGCCCCTCTTTAGATGTTCTCAGAACAATATTCGCTACAGACTCGAATGACCATATATATACTATTTGTTTATAACAAGTAATATCGATTATAAGAAGTACAGCCCAGTATTATCTTCACCATGTCATCGTGTTCATCCTTTCTACAGTTAAGTACACGCGCACGGTAGACTACTGCTATAACGGGAAGCTGACAATTTGCGAAGGGAATGGTGTTGTGAAATCAAAAACGTAAATGAATATTCAAGTACGGATATTATTATGAAAGATCAATAGCGAGAGTGTGTTTGGAGTTTGAAGAAAGCAATCACGATTCTACTATAACTTTATACACCCATCAACACGAAAATTATAGAATATTTTAAATCATTGTCCGTGTTAATATACTTTTTTTAAACTGTCTAATCCGACACAATATGGAAGACATTGATCAAATTAGACAGGATGTGGCAGAATATAAGACGTATTAGGTAGTTTTTACCAGAAATCGAATTACTTTGATGTTGGACTAGACAGGAGAGCGGAATACGCAGGTGTTGGACTAGACAGGAGAGCGGAATACGCAGGTGTTGGACTAGACAGGAGAGCGGAATACGCAGGTGTTGGACTAGACAGGAGAGCGGAATACGCAGGTGTTGGACTAGACAGGAGAGCGGAATACGCAGGTGTTGGACTAGACAGGAGAGCGGAATACGCAGGTGTTGGACTAGACAGGAGAGCGGAATACGCAGGTGTTGGACTAGACAGGAGAGCGGAATACGCAGGTGTTGGACTAGACAGGAGAGCGGAATACGCAGGTGTTGGACTAGACAGGAGAGCGGAATACGCAGGTGTTGGACTAGACAGGAGAGCGGAATACGCAGGTGTTGGACTAGACAGGAGAGCGGAATACGCAGGTGTTGGACTAGACAGGAGAGCGGAATACGCAGGTGTTGGACTAGACAGGAGAGCGGAATACGCAGGTGTTGGACTAGACAGGAGAGCGGAATACGCAGGTGTTGGACTAGACAGGAGAGCGGAATACGCAGGTGTTGGACTAGACAGGAGAGCGGAATACGCAGGTGTTGGACTAGACAGGAGAGCGGAATACGCAGGTGTTGGACTAGACAGGAGAGCGGAATACGCAGGTGTTGGACTAGACAGGAGAGCGGAATACGCAGGTGTTGGACTAGACAGGAGAGCGGAATACGCAGGTGTTGGAAAAGACAGGTGTCACTGTAGATTTTTAGCGTATCTTTATCAAAACTTTTTAAAATATGTATTACTTATACTCACGGATTCTAATAACATCACGTGTGACGTCACAATCGTGTATGACGTCAAACTTCCATCAGGAGATCACATCTTACATTAAAGTTTCTCTCAAGTTATAGCGTCCGTTTTCTTAATCGGGTAATTAAAGCTTTCTTATTAACTTGTTAATTGGGTTATGATAGAAACCAGACTTCCAGCTTGTGAGAATTAATTATGATTTGTATCCAATCTTGCGAGTTGTTTTCGCCGCAAATATAAGCTACTAGCTAATGCTTGTAAACTGGGTGCGTTAACCTTCCTAACTTACGCATTTCAAAAATTGGAGAAGTACTGGTGTAATTTGAATTTTGCCAAATACGGGACTTCCGGTTCCTCAGCGGTGGCAAAACTTTTGTACCAACGAAAAAAATAAATGTATATTGAATTTGATTTTATAAAATCCGTCCAAACCCCGTTTATTGCCAACAGCAATGAAACTCGCGTTACAAATTTGAAGAGGGAAGAAGGGACAGTGCTCATTGTCGATAGGGTGCTGTCTATTTCACTTCCGCTTTCAAGCAGACTGGCTGAGTGGCACGAAAAAATGTCAAGCTGAAATCGATGATTGTCAGACTTTTCGCTCAGAATCAAGATAATATGTTGTCAATGATTTGCAAATTCCAGAATCCTCGATGCTACATTGGACAATGCTCCTTCAAAGCGATTTGGCTGTCGTGGAAGGCCGCACAATGATACTTGGTTTGACGGGGCGGAGAATTCACGAAAGGCCGGCCAAGGGCGAGCGACAGGGCAGCGACTAATAATTGGATTGCCGTGTTCAAATAATATAGAATGAGTCTCCCTGTAATTACTAGGCAATGTGAGGAACACGTCATGTCGAATGTGTTTTATTATAGTTATGGAGCAGTGTGAGGAACACGTCATAGCGAATGTGTCTTATAATAGTTATGGAGCAATGTGTGGAACACGTCATGTCGAATGTGTTTTATTATAGTTATGGGGCAATGTGAGGTACACGTCATGTCGAATGTGTTTTATTATAGTTATGGAGCAACGTGAGGTACACGTCATGTCGAATGTGTTTTATTATAGTTATGGGGCAATGTGAGGTACACGTCATGTCGAATGTGTTTTATTATACTTATAGGGCAATGTGAGGTACACGTCATAGCGAGTGTGTCTTATTATATTTATGGAGCAATGTAAGGAACACGTCATAACGAATGCGTCTTATTATAGTTATGGAGCAGTGTAAGGAATACGTCAAAGCGAATGTGTCATATTATAGTTATGGAGCAACGTGAGGTACGCGTCATGTCGAATGTGTTTTAATATAGTTATGGAGCAACGTGAGGTACGCGTCATGTCGAATGTGTTTTACTATAGTTATGGAGCAATGTACGGAACACGTCATAGCGAATTTGTCTTATTATAGTTATGGAGCAGTGTAAGGAATACGTCAAAGCGAATGTGTCATATTATAGTTATGGAGCAACGTGAGGTACGCGTCATGTCGAATGTGTTTTAATATAGTTATGGAGCAATGTACGGAACACGTCATAGCGAATGCGTTCTATTATATTTATGGACCACTGTGAGGAACACGTCATAGCAAATGTGTTCTATTATATTTCTGGAGCAATGTGAGGAACACTTCATAGCGAATGTGTCTTATAATAGTTATGGAGCAATGTGAGGAGCACGTCATAGCGAATGTGTCTTGTAATAGTTATGGAGCAATGTGAGGCACACGTCATAGCGAATGTGGCCTATTATGGTTATGGAGCAATGTGAGGATCACGTCATAGCGAATGTGTGTTACTGTAGCTATAGGGAAACCTGATGATGGGGAATAGTCATGTCGAGTGGTTATAGGGGAACACGAGGAGCGATAATTGTTGAATGTGTCACGCGGTATTAAAGGGGGAATGTTATAAACATGCCTCGTCGAATGTGTCTTTTATAGTAAAGAGGAACGCGAGGAACGGATAATGTCGAATGTGTCTCACTGTTGTTATAGAACAATGTGAGGACCACATGTCGAATGTGTCTCACTGTTGTTATAGAACAATGTGAGGACCAATGTGTCCTGTTATAGTTATGGAGCAATGGGAGGTACACGTCATGTCGAATGGGTTTTATTATACTTATATGGCAATGTGAGGTACACGTCACGTCGAATGTGTTTTATTATAGTTATGGAGCAACGTGAGGTACGCGTCATGTCGAATGTGTTTTATTGTAGTTATGGAGCAACGTGAGGTACGCGTCATGTCGAATGTGTTTTAATATAGTTATGGAGCAACGTGAGGTACGCGTCATGTCGAATGTGTTTTACTATAGTTATGGAGCAATGTGAGTAACACGTCATAGCGAATGTGCTCTATTATATTTATGGAGCAACGTGAGGAACACGTCATAGCCAATGTGTTCTATTATATTTCTGGAGCAATGTGAGGAACATGTCATAGCGAATGTGTTCTATTAGATTTATGGAGCAATGTGAGGAAAACGTCATAGCGAATGTGTCTTGTAATAGTTATGGAGCAATGTGAGGAACACGTCATAGCGAATGTGTTCTATTATATTTATGGAGCAATGTGAGGAACACGTCATAACGAATGTGTCTTATTATAGTTATGGAGCAATGTAAGGAACACGTCATAGCGAATGTGTATTACTGTAGCTATAGGGAAACCGGATGATGGGGAATAGTCATGTCGAGTGGTTATAGGGGAACACGAGGAGCGATAATTGTTGAATGTGTCACGCGGTATTAAAAGGGGAATGTTATAAACATGCCTCGTCGAATGTGTCTTTTATAGTAAAAAGGAACGCGAGGAACGGATAATGTCGAATGTGTCTCACTGTAGTTGTACAGAAACGTATGGAACATATCGTGTCGAGTGTGTCTCGTTAAAAAGAACGGGGAACGCGAAGAACAGTTCATGTCGAATGTGTCTCACTGAAGCGATAGAACACAAGGAACAGATGGAATGTGTCTTGCTAAAGTCATTGGGGAACACGAGGTATGGATCATGTCCAATGTGTCTCACTGAACGTATAAGGGAACGGGAAGAGCGATTGATGTTGAATGTGTCTCACAGTATTCATCGGGGAACGTGAGGAAAAGGTCATGTCGAATGTGTCTCACTGTTGTTATAGAACAATGTGAGGACCACATGTCGAATGTGTCTCACTGTTGTTATACCAGACGCGAGTTAATGTCAAATGTGTAACATGGTAGCTTCAGGGGAATGAAATTGAAAGGAACTTGATATGACGAGGAAAATATGGTAACGAATGTGTCTCACTGTAATGTTAGGGGAACGCGATGAACGATTTATGTTAAGGGTATGTGTCTCACGATCTTATAGGGGAACCTGAAGAAAGGTCATGTCGAATGTGTCTCAGTATAGTGATTGGGAAGGCGAGGAAGGATCATAGCGAATGTGTTTCATTGTATTGATAGAAGAGTGTGATCAATAGATAATTTCGAATGTGTTTCACTGTTTTTATAGAACAATGTGAGGACCACATGTCGATATGTGTCTCATTAGCTTTATGGGAACAAGCTTATGTTGAATTTGTGTCAGTAAACTGACAGAGCAATGCGAGGAGCAGAACGTGTCTCACTCAGAGACGTATATACACGTGGATGGATGGATGACGGGTTTCGCGCCTACATGAATCCGCCCTTACGGGTTTCATCTCACTGACGTATATACACGTCTCTGATCTCCCTTTAAGTACGTGGTCGCATTGGGGAACAGATCATGTCAATGTGTTTTCCAGCAAGGAGGGAAGCTTGATGGGAGTAAAAAGATATTGAATGAGTGAAAATAGACTGTAATCGATTTTGTGTGTGGTAACTACGACTTTTTTTTATCATATTATCGTTATTTGATCCCCACGGTATACAATTCACACCGCCAACAACGGCTTTGCTAGGGGTTTACTCCTCGACCAGGACACTCTAAAGCCAAAACCCCGTCCGTTGATTCGTCTGTTCGTCCCTTGTGAGCCATTCCGCCGATCTCACAGTTATTCCAAGCACGTATGGTGTGTTGTAGACATTGTGGACAAATATTGCATTTTCTGTGATGAGTCGGGCGGGTTGGTGACGTGTCTGGTTAGCGACGTGTCGGGGTAAAGGCGTACTAACGGCGTGACGGTGATGTTCTTACTTGTCGGAGGGAGGTAGTGTAAGGGACGGCATCGTGTCGTGATCTTGTGACGCGTCAAAGGTAGTGACGTGTCGTGGCCTGGTCACGTGTGTGATTTGGGGACGTATCGAGGTGATGGTTTGTGGTGAAGTGCCGTCAGAACTGCATATGCACCGTAGTGGTTTTAACGTGGAGGATCGTCTGATGTTTTTAGCAGTGGAATATTGGGGCATTTGCTGTAAATCAAATCAAACTTTATTCATTTCACATCAAATTGTAAAACAAGTTCTACTAGCTTATATTAATCACTTTTATTTGCCTGGATGGCAGCACGCAGGGGCCTTAATGTGGGCGGAAACCGGAGTACCTGGAGAAAACCCATGTGTTCGAGCAGATGACTCCATACCTTTCCATGCCTGATGGGGGTATCGAACCCCGGCCGCCCTTGGTGAAAGGCGAGTGCGTTATCCACTTCGCATATGTGGATGACGACGTGATGGTGACATAATCTTGAAGCTTGTGAAAACATTGGTTTTGGTCATTTAGTGATGAGTTCAAGGTGGCCACGTGCCAGACTTGATGACTCATGCGGTAGTTGGTGACGTATCGTTGTTGGTGTCGTATTATGTTTGGTGACGTGCGGTGGTTGGTGACGGGACGTGGTTGGTGACGTTTCGTAGTTGGTGACGTGTCGTGGTGGGTGACGTGTCGTAATTGGTGACGTATCGTCGTTGATGACGTGTCGTGGTTGGTGACATGTCGTAGTTAGTGACGTGTCGTGGTGGGTGACGTGTCGTAATTGGTGACGTATCGTCGTTGATGACGTGTCGTGGTTGGTGACATTTCGTAGTTAGTGACGTGTCGTGGTTGGTAACGTGTCAGAAAGTGGTTGCAGTCCGGGTTGGTGATTGTTTTAAGTGATGTTTCGCATAGATGAATGACATGCTATGATTTGATGACGTGTCGAGTCTCGGTGACATGTATCAGTGACGGGTCGGAGGATACCGTCAATGGGGCTTTTTACATGTCGGTAGACCGGTGACGTGTTGATGATGTTGACGTATTATGGATAATTCCATGTCATGTTTGATGACGTGTTTAGGTGACGTGTCGGGGTTGATAACGTGTCTGAATGACGTTCGAGAATTGTTAAGAAACTTCATGACGTTTAATGTGCTGGTAACATTAAAAGAAAATAGCGTAGTGCTTGCCAGTATATGAGTAATAAACGTAAGATACACGTCCTAACCTAACTTATAATTATCCGTGTTTCCCCGTTGTGATATATAAATAAACATACCATGTGGCACCTGTTCCACGAAAAAGCTTTTAAGAGGAAATAAACAGTCTATAATACCTCCTGTGAGAGGACATATCGCGTACACCGGATAAAAAAGACATCGCGGATAAAATGATATGCGGTTGGGGAGTAGGTTCGGTAATTACAACTGGTCGCGGAGCCGCTTCCGTGCGCAGAACTACCAAAGAGACCGGAGCAATGGCTGCTACGCACTTGTCTATGACACCTTATTTGGTGCCGTACAAACGAGATTTATTTATCAAGGCTGCAAACACGAGAACTGGCATTTTTTTTTGTATTCAAACCATGACGAATGATCTAATAACGTGGGATTGCAAATTATCTAAAGCTCCGGCTACACTGTATTGATTTCAACTTGTCTGTTACTGTGTGATTATTTTCGGAGACATCCGACTGGGTTTTTTGTCTTGCCGAATTGGATATTAGAGACATAATAGGATTGGGGACCGTTGTAAAAGACAGAGTCTGCATGATATCGATAATCAGCCCGAAGCATGCTTCATCTGTGTCGCAAGTATGCTTGCTCTTCTCGTGCGGGTATATGGTTAGTAATCCAACAGGGATTTCTTTGGTCGCTCCAGAACCGCTCAACGCCGCCGGACTATCTATCTATACAGACGAACTCGGGAACTTGGATGACCCCAAGAAAAATATCTTCCTAAATAGTTCGGTTCATCTAATATTATTGGTCGATAGCCGCTAATAAACTTCAAGTCTGTCAACGGGATGAATCTATAGAGCCTTGTACACATTCAAAACCATTGATAATCTGTTGTGTGTAATTCCGGGGCATCAAGCAGAGAGATATTTGGCAATCAATAACGCTCTCCTTAAGAAACCTCTTAGAAAATTAAAATGGGTAATAATAGTAGATCACTCTCCTACAAACATGCATACTAAACCGCCAATGCCTCTTTACAGCTTATAGAATGCTTATCACAGAATCAGCCTCGGCATCGGTTACCGGTGCAAAGGAGCTGGTATCTAACTCAATAGTAATAAAACAAAACACCGCAGAACATTCCTAGCTTGATAATTGGCGCATATACTACATATAGGGGGACATTTAATGGCTCCCCTTTTAATACCTATATATATATATATTACACAAGTATTGCAGAGTATCGATAGATTTGACGAGTTGAAAATATCGGCATATTCCGCCCTACGAGTAAAATATCACTGGCATTCAGTTAAAAAGGGAAGGGGGGGGGGGGCTATTTAATTTTATTGATATTACATTTTAAATGTGTAAAACACGAAATGTTTACGGTATTAAGAAAGTGATAGAATTAGTAGCGATATTTAGTGCATTATTTGAATGACGTCACACATGACAACAAGGTTTTGAGCCGTTTTGAACAGGTTTCTTCTCCGTGCAAATCGACTGCTTCCTGTAACTCTATGGTAAAATTTGCCATGAAAATGTAATCTTCTGCATAAGTTCAGAAGCCGTCGCAATTTTAATTAGTTTCATCAAGAATATACTCTAATCTACATAGATGCACAGCGCTGTAGCGCCTTCTAGGGCTGTGCTCGACCGCTATTGATTTTAGAATTGCTGCATTCATGAGTGAAATGCAGCTCGATATACAAGATATCTAGCTTCTCAAAATTGTCTTGGTTGAATTTGCGAACCATACAGTTGACAAACTGGTATCCCCTTCACTCTTGGTCAACCATATCATGTTTTAACTGACCAATGAGTAAGATTGTATCTGCCGATTTAGATACAATTATTCTTTCGTACAGGAGGCTTACATTTGGTCCCTTAGGATCGGCGTCTTGTTTTCGTTAAACGTTTTAGATATAGCAAGAGTAATTTTGCTTGATACGTGTTGTAGGAGCGGAGAGGAGCGCGAGAGTCAACTCGCAGAGGCAGACGTAAATGTGTGGTATCGTGTCGTGTGATTAATACAGATAGTCCCAAAACGTCAATTTCCCTATTTATTTACAAAAAGAAAATGGCCGAGAGGGAATCACAATCTAATTGTTGAAATAATCAAAACTTCAATTGGCAATAAAACCGAACGTCTGCGTAAAATTGTCGCTGTGTATATTCTCTCTGGAGCCATCGAGGAACAAGATTGTTCCCGCAATCGCTGGTGTAGCTTATATGTAATGAGTTATGAGCTAGTTGTTCGCGCACAGCTAAGGTCATAGGTCATAGTGTCCACAGATGATGGGGCCATGCAAGGGACATTTTTAAGCGCCAACACGCTGAAATGTCATAACCTGAATAAGTCAGCTTACAATATCACCTAGAATGGCCCCCGTCTCTAGAATATTGAATCATTTAGAAAAAAAATAACTCTAATGTTTTTTTTATCACCTGGATGTCTGATTCTAGTTTATAAACTAGGAGAGATCAGCTAGTAGTAAAATGCAGCCAGGAAATCCTTCATAAAAACTTAGGGGCTGGTAGGCACTCTAAATCTCACCAAGCTACAACATTCTGAATACGAACTACCAATAACCGCTTATGAAAATAGGAGTTACGATAAATTAAGGTGAAAAGTTAATAAAAATATCTACAGTACAAATGTAGGTTACACAACGCAATCATCTAGTAGTGAATGCGACAGAAATTGCGGTTTCTGCAGGGGTCCCACATACGTTGCCATGGTCTCATCTTGCTATGGATTTAAATTGTCGAGTCTGCTAATCTTTCTGAATTGTGTACTAAGTGTCATTAATAGCGTTTTTGAGCTAGATGCTGGATGTCGACGACAAAATGTCTATTTTTAACTGGTTCCAGTCCAAATTAGAATCTATAGTAAATCAGTCAGCTACTTCCGGTACCTGAATGACTTATAAGTCATCAACTTCCGGTCGGTAAGTGATTCATAACTCAGATACCTCCGGTCACGTAGAGATTTACAAGTCAGCTGCTTCCGGTAAATGAGGGACTCGTAAGTCAGCTGATTTTAGTTCAAGACGGACACCATTAGTCCCTAAGTCATATGGTTTTTGGCATTTAGGGACTTATCCGTCTGCTACTTCCGCCACATATGGACTCATTGTCTTTTAGTCTGCAGTCCAAAACTCCCCGACGACATTCATTTGGTAATCGGTGATTGAATACATTGATGCCCCGTGGGCTAGAAAAGAAAGTATTGGAAGACAGATAGATATTCAGGGCACATTCTCGTCCCAAGTCATCAAGAAGTCGATATGGCGGAAAAAACTGACACCAACCCTGGAGGGACAAAATGATTTTAAAAGTAAGAGCACATTTAGTCATGAGTTATCTTTGCAGACTAGCGCATATATATATATGGCAGGTGATACAATGACAGGCCGATAGTTCCCCCTGTCTAGCGGGCCATTTTTTTCTCATGCATATGGTCCACTTGTTCATACTGACATTTGGAAATAATCCATTATCGCCGATAATAACATATCAGGTTTTTTGTTATTATCATTATTATTGAAACTAGCCTCAAAGCAAACATGTTCAGTTTGATATCATCAGCAGTTTTGTATAACATGGCTGCCCTCAGAGATTATAAAGAATAATAAAAAACCTTGAAAATCGATAAAATCATATCAATGCCAATTTCAGGCCGGATGTCAATCAATGCTGTAAGCCACGCCTATACCTTACCTTGCCAAAATCCCACGTGGTCATGGATGTCGTCTGTCGACTTTGATTGACAGAGTGTACATTAGCCAACCAAATAGCGGCTTTTGAGACAAGTCTTTGTTCACTGGAGTGGAGGTGAATTATAG